GTGTGTGTTTGGTTTGCGATAGTCCATCTCAAGCTTTATTGTCAAAGCGTGCTCAGGACTGGCGGCTGATGAGTTGTTGGCGGCCATGGGTTCCATGAGGCTTCGATGGCCGAAAGAACAAGTAGAACAGCCCAAACAGACGGTGTCCATGAATGAGCAGATGCTGCAGCTAGCGTTTCGCATGGGCCAGTCGAGTACAGGCGGGAATGCACCAGCTTCACTGCCACTTGGAAATGTTCCACTTTCAAGAAGTCCGTCATGCCCACCGCTGGCCATTGAAGATGCCAAGTCAGGCTCAGGTTCATCCAGAAGTCTGTCACAACAACCGCTGGCCATTGAAGATGCCAAGTCAGTCCCAGGTAGCGGCAGTGAACCTTAGTAGCCTGAGAAAAAAATCAGTTGTCTATCTTTGCTATTGTTGGTTTTAGAAGCTGAATGGCCCATTCATCAAGCCTTTCAACTTCTTTCATCTCCACTCATGTTGTGGCATTGGCATCACTTGGCTTGAGTATCTGAGGATTTGAGAGATGCGCATGCAGCTGTTGAAGGGCCAGGTTCTGTGTCCGAAGCGCCAGGACAGGAGTGTCAACAACCTGCTGATGCTCATGTTCTGCCTGCTGATAACCATACACAGGTTTTGACAGAAGCTCTGATGTTGGACCAGCAGCCAGCTGATCCAAAGAGCTCAGATGCAGACACGAAAGAATCTCTACCCAACGACCAAGTACCTTTCTCTTCCGCTGTGAACAGATTGCAAAGCGCTCTGAGCAGCAAGAAAGGCCAGAAACCAGGTGGAAAGCCTACATCCTCAGCAGCCGGCGCGAAGGCCAAGTGCAAACCGAACCAGAAGCTGGCTACGAAAACAAGCCAGAAGAAAACACACACAGATAAAAATACAGAGAAGAAGAAGACGGTTCAGAAGAAGAACCCGAAAAATAAATCTGAGAAGAAACCCACGCAGCCATACAACAAACAGCAGCCGCCACTCAACAATAAGAGGAAAGCCAAGAAGCTGAATGATTCCAAGAAGTGTGTCTACAGCAGGGCATACCATGCTACAATGAGTTCCTTGATGTATGTTTGTTAAAGCAAGTTCTTGATGGGGGTCCAGAACTGTGGGGCTAGGTAGTTTGTTGAATCGACGTGCACTGCGTGAAGTTGTTCAGGTCTTTTGTCCAAGAAGAAGGGCATGAACACGGAGAAGAAGAAGGCCAAAGCTCGGGAAGTCGGCCAGAAAGCTGTGCGCGATAGGTTTGGGGATGCCTGATGCGCAGCTGTCGATACGAACCCTGAGATAAGTCGCCCAAGAAAAGCGGCAGTTTGTTGTGTTCTGTCATCATCTTTCTGTGTTTAAATTTGCTGCAGAACATATACAGTGTACATTTTGTATTCTTAGCGGTGTGTCCGCTTGGCTATATCGAAAGTTGAGAGCCTGCTCACGAACCATATCATCTTGTCCCCTTTATAACTTTGACTGCTGTATTGATGTCTGTAGGTTTGCGTATTCAAGCAGCTGTGCTTAGTTTTGATCTTTAGGTCACGGGTCCTGTGTCAGTGCAGCCAAATGGTGGTGTTGCCCTTCGAATACACCAGTATTGATTGGGGGGTCCTTGAAGACTTGCAGAGCGCAGCTCTTTTTGATGTTTGGGGCGCCCGGCAACATTGGAGAGATCTTCCAAAAACTCAGCAGTTTCGCCATCGCTTTGCAGAGCCAACTTTATGGATGGGATGTGGGACAGTGAGCGTTCCTTTCCAGAAGTCGGACCACCCAAACCTGGTACACAAGCCCGAGTGGCAGTTGCTCCTAGCCTGCATAACTCTGAGTGTCACAAAGTCGAAAGTAGTTTTCCATCCAATACATCTATAGAGGCATAGGCTAGGGGTCAAAAAATGTAACCCTGGAGGTTTGTCAGCAAGAAGGGCGAATGCATGCTGGTAAAGCCTACCGGCTCCCCAGCGGGAACGAAGCTCTATACGTTTGAATGGTGCCCCAAAAGCAAGACGCTTGCTATCAGCATACCGACTTCTGGCGAACCTCTTGGCAAACTTCCGGGTAAGTGGGGAGCCAGGACTCCCTTTGAGAAGGCAAGCGTTGCCAAAGATGTCCTTACCAAGAAAGACCAACAGACCATGTTTGGAGATGGCCTTTTGTTTTACCCATTGTAGAAGCTATTAGGGCTATAAAGGGCAGAGTCCAAGAATTGCCTTTTAGTGTTTGTTGGCTCCTGTTGGCAAAGCTGTGCCAAGTGTTTCTTTCCTTAAACTTTTCGCTAAATGTGTCCAATTTGGAGGTTGTTTTGCTGAAAGCGCCTGCTGAATTTACAGGTGATGCAATCTTTCCTTGCATTTGCATACGACGTCACAGGCAAGGAAGCGTTCATTTTGGGCAGCTGCCAGATTGGCATTTGTCGTGGAGACCAGCGGCTGGGTTACCACCAAAGGAAACTATCCCTTGGCGAACTATTTCAAGGTGATGTGGAGCCAAACATTGAACCACCAAGCGTTGATTCAAGTGAGCAAGACCTCCTGGCTGCGCAGAAGTCCCCTGGTCGATGGCAAAAAAGACTTTTTGTTGGGAATGGTGTGGGAGACTTCCTTCGAATAATATTTCCCTATAGTGGAATCTAAGATGCCCATACTTGGACATCAAACCAAGGTTGAAGGCATCAGCCAAACTGCAGAGCTCCATTGCAAAGGCGAAGTCCAAGCAGAAGAAGCCAGCGGCTTCAAGCAAAGCGGTGATGAAGAAACCCGCTAAAAGATCCTGATTGTATCTTGCCACCATTTTGGAACTTTCCCAGCATGGTTGCTGCCTGCGCAGGATAAAGAGCTTGACAACATAGGGTTTGAAGCGGTTGGTCGGCTCAAGTTTCTAAGTTTGAGGCTGTGTACAAGGTGCTTGTTCTTCTGCTTGAAGCGGTTCGTCCGCTAAATTTTCAAGCGGTGCGTCCGCTAAATCTAAAGGTGCCATGTTTTTGTGTTTGATTTGCTTGAAGCGGTTCGTCCGCTAAATATAACTATCTTGTCTATGGCTATCTATGGTTATCTATGGTTATCTATTGGTTATCTTTTGGTTATCTTTAGTATCTATAGATTTGTTGGGGTTGGTTATCTATGGTTATCTATGGTTATCTTTGGTTATCTATGGTTATCGTTATAAAAATATACTTTTTAATACGGTTATCTATGGTTATCTTACCGTTATCTTACGGTTATCTTTCAGCTACTTCTATTTTTTTGTTCAATAAGCAATCCTATTTTTTGGCGTTTGGTACAAGGTCACAAGTTTTCCTGGCTAGTTATTTGGACTAGACCTTCAAGCTTTTGTAGCCATGTCTGGCGCTGAACCCCTTCAGACCATCGAAGTTCCGGAGTCCCAGACGCAGCATCAGGATGCACAGGAACGTGAGACTCTGCCAGATCCTGCACCCATCGAGTGCTTGAAGTGTGGAGTGCAGACCTCCGCATTAGAGAGCGGCGTGGTCATCAAGCTCAATGGAATTCAATGCCCTCGGTGCGCAAGTGTGTACCAGATGATGTACCGCCACATGGGCGGCATTCCAGAAGGGGTGAGTTCGATGACAGCTGAACAGCAGAAGACCTTCTTCAAAAGCAGTGGCAGTCTCCTGGCCTCCGCTCCCAAAAACGGACGCTGGGCAATGGTGAAGTCAGCACTGGTCAAAGAAATGGTCGCCTTCAGGACCTCGCAGGTCACCCACCGAGTTTCTGAAGACTACTTGCCCTTGAGCGTTTGGGAAAAGAGAGGATTTGACAGCTCGCAAATCAAAGCTCAGGGACGAAAGAAGGATGATTTGGTCACTTGCTTTTTCAATGTCAAGACTTTCCAAATCCTGATGGGGTTGTTACCTGCTTGTTTTAAAACTTTTCTGGGTTGCGCTGTATGTCTTTGTGTCGCTTTCATATACAGTCCTAGGTGTTTGGCGAGGTGTGGAGTGCACCGCTGATGTCCATCCATACGGAAGACATCAAGGGGGAGGTTGAAAGGGAGATCGCTGACAAGGAATACAATTTGAAGAAGCAAAAGATCGCCAAAGGCAAGGCGGCTGCCAAGGCCAAACCTGCTGCCGCTCCCTCGACTGGCCCTGCTGGTCCTTTGGTCGTCGAGGTGGACGACGATGTCTGGAGCATTCCCAGTGACACTGAGGGACCTGCTGGACCGAAAGTCCCCAAGAAGGGGAAAGAGGATGACGCAGCCAAAGCTGCGCGCAAAATGGCCAACGAGCGCGCCAAGCTGTGGAATACCCAGTGCGGGCTGGCTACAAAGATGCTAGCCCCACTAAGCGCCCTCGAGAAGGGTTTGGGCAACACATTGGTGCGGTATCAGAAGCTTGACAGCTTTGACCCGACCATGGTAGACGGCTTGAAGGATGCTGCCAACCTCGTTGCACGATGGAACCATTGTGCCCTGGTTGATGTTGAGCTTTCCTTTGGATTAGCGGTGTGTCCGCTTTCGAAACCCTTACACGGTCGTATTGTAATGTCTAAACATGTTCGATTTGCAAAGCAACGCCCAGGCGCCAAGAAGTTGATCAACGCCTCAGAGGAGGACAAGGTCAACAATGACCCAGAAGGCTTCGACACGGACCACGCTGGCATGACTTCCAAACTGAAAGCATCCAAAGACCTCATGGCCGATGCCAAGTGGGCCGTGAAAACTGAGAAGGCGGAGCAGGCTGCGAAACCCAAAGCCACCCCGAAGGTGAAGACCGCTCCAAAGCGAAAGGCCAAGACTGGGGGCGCCTAGCTTTCAATGTGGTGGCGTTGGCTTGCATCTAATTCATCGTTTTCTGAAAACGAGTGTGATTGTCATGCGATTCACGAGTGGTGAGTCTAATTTGCTGCTGAGAAAAACAAGCGCAGCTGTCAGGTTTGTATGAGTGTTGAGCGGTATGTCCGCTAAAGTATCGCAAATGAATGGCCATACACATATGCGTTTTGAGCGGTGCGTCCGCTAAACAAGACATGCAGACGCATTCGCGCCTCTTATAATGGTATACTTGGCAACCTCAAAGCTGGCCGCATAGTCCAATTTTGGTCCAGTGTCTTCAATTGTATCAATTAAAGAACTTTAAGATTCCAGATAACTTGATGCCTTTTCTCATGTTGTTGGTGGACACAAAAATCAATTATATAGGTGGTGATTCTCTCACAAAAACCCCACCGACATGGAGAAAGCGTGCTGCATGGAGTATGCCAAAAAGAAAACTGACGCCGAAGAAGCAAGGTCAACTGGACAGATGCTTGCAGGTGCCGGGAGCGAGTGAACGAGCAGTTCATGAGATTTGGAACATTTGTAGAGAAGATGATGGCGCAAACATTTCCCGCCGCACCTTTATGGACACAGTGCAAAGTGTTCTGGGGCCTTGGAAAGATTGCTCCTTTGAGCAGGCCTTTGAATGTCACGATGGGACAATGGTCAACCTACCTTTGATGCAGCTGCAACCGCTGGTTGAAACTGTGTGTGAACAATCGCTTGCCTTCACCAACGCTTTGAAGCAATCTTTTGAGAAAAACAAGTTCCTCACACCAATCATTTACTGTGATGAGTGCACTGCTGGTAATGTCTTATCGGTGGACAAAGCACGCAAGGCGTGCTTGTTCTACATGACATGGGTGGAGACTTGGCACTACCTCAAGAACCAGAGCATGTGGTTACCAATTGCGGCAATTCAATCAGATTGTTTGAATTTGCTTCAAGGTGGACCATCAGCTGTAGTGGTGGCCATCTTGACCAATCTGTGGACAGTGGAAAACGAACACGGTTTTGGAATTTCCTGTCATGGATTGAACTTCAAATTCCGGCAGAAACAGAAAGGGCTTCTGATAGCCGACAATGAAGGTATTAGGGCGGTATATTCATCCAAGGGATCTTCTGGCATTCGTCCCTGCTTACATTGTTCCAATGTTGTCAAGCGTGACACAAATATTTCTCGATTCGACGATTTCTTTGTCGAAGTGTCTGCGTGGCAAGGCTTTCAACCGGTCACAGACGAAGAGATCTTCCAAATGGCGGACAGCATGCAACATTGCGCGACCAAAGCAGAGTTGGAGATGACAGAAAAATGTGCTGGCTTTTCGTTTGTTCCCAACAGCCTGTTGTTCACAGAACAAAGGTGGAAGTTGGGCCCATCAAGAATATTGACTGACTACATGCACACATATCTTGCAAACGGCATCGCATCTTGGGAGATAGCTCTCTTTGTTCAGACGATTGTGGATCACACTTCCATCACCTTGGATATGTTGAGAACATGTGCGTTGGGAGCTGGCTGGAAAGGAACCCGTAGTTCCGGAAAAACTGCCAATTACCTCGGACGCTTGTTCGACAGCAGAATGTTTGGGGAAGGCCTATACAAAGGCCAAGCTCATCACACATTAGCGCTTGCCTTTTTGCTTCGGTACTATGGAGAGACCACTATTGATCCATCTGGCCAAGTGCCAAAGAAGTTCTTTGATTCCTTCGGCGTTTTGTGCGACATCCTGTCTCACGTTCGGTCCTTGCAGAACCGAACTGTTCGTCTTGAGCCTGATGAAACAAACAGGCTACAAACACTGCAAGAAAGACATCAACAAGAGTTTGGCCGGGCATACGGTGGACAGTATTACAAGCCGAAACACCACCATCGATTTCACTTGGCTTCGAACTTCTTGTTCACTGGCTGCGTGGTTACTTGTGAACCTATGGAGTCAAAGCACATGATTTACAAATCGGGAGTTGCTGACTGTCAGAAGCACAATATTTACGAACATGCGTTGTTCAGTGCATCAGTGCTACATCGGCTGGTGAAAGCTTGGGTTGGCAACTTGAAAAAGAATGGCTTGCCATTTTGGGAGCTGCTACCACCAACACGGAAAGCAACAGTGGATGACCAAATCATCTTTGCCACCAATGACGCGCAAGAAAGCGCATCTTGCTACCTGCTTTCGTGCAAAATCATGGCAGGCGACATCATTTGCTGGGATGCTTACGGTGGTCTCATTGAAACATGGTTCTCTTGCCCGAGCACTTTGGCAGTGCGCTGCCAAAAGATGGATTTGGTATCTAGACCTTGGTTCAGAAAAGGCGCAGACAGGACCATTCCCCAAGATTTGTTCCCCAAGATGTGTTTGATTTGTTAGTGTTTTCTGACAGCAACATGTCTGTCTGAGGTGTCGCGACATTCATGGGGCACCATGTGGAACCTCACAGACGATCGTGTCATCTGGCGTGTGGAGCCTGAGTGGCCACCCTTGATCCCTTCTTGGTATCAGTTCTCAGCAGGCGGCAAGACCGTTACGTGCTTGCATTGACAATGTCCTGCGTTTGCACACTGCCAAAAAGCATCAGTAAAAAAAGACTGTTTGAGCGGTGCGCCCGCTGGTAAGGTTGAACACCTGTTTCCTAATTAGAATGGTTTGAGCGGTGTGTCCGCTGGCAACTTGATGTTTGTATGAAAAGGTTGATATTGTTGAGCACCGGTTGCATTTGCTGCTGACAAAAATGCACTTGGTTTGCTACATTCTCAAGATCAACATTTAGAGTTAGAGCCCGCGCATCACACCTTGCGTCATGCCAAGCCAACCTGTTCAGTTTTGTGACTACATGGTTGCTGTGGCCAAGCACTGGTCCGCTGAGGAGCCCATGCTCGAGAGCCTGGAGTGTGTTCGTGAGACCATGAGGAACGTGGTGAATGTCTTGGGCTTCTCCGATGAGACCAAACCCTTGAGTGATTTGTGGTGTCAAATCACAACATTTCAGGTGAAGCTTCAAGGTTTGGATGGCGAGGGCATCAATATTTACTCTATGGGATGTGGCCGTGTTCCTCCACGACCTTTGGATGACTTTGTGACTTTGCTTGCGCCTGGACGCAAAAGCAGCACGAGATTGGAAGTGCAGATTACCATGACCACCCTACAGAAGTTGTTCTCTGACGAGTTCCCCGAGATTCAGACAGCAGAGGAGATTTGCAGAGACTTGCTCCGACAGGTCGAGAACTGACCATGGAACTACCATGCGCTGCCTCACCTTCTGACTATTGCCTGATGTCCGCACCTCGACACAAAGCGATGTCTGTGCTCTTTTGTCCGTGGGCTTTCATTCTGAGAAAGAGACCCGCAAGCTTTACGTGTTTCATGTGGTTTCAGGAAACTAAATTGTTTTGTGTTTTGTGGTGTTGCAGTTTACATGGTCTTTGTTTTGGGTCTATGTTCAGCGGTGTGTCCGCTTAGTCTACGTTGAGCGGTGCGTCCGCTTTATCTACGTTGAGCGGTGTGTCCGCTGGTGAGGTTTCAAAGTTTCAATGCAAACTTTTGTTCCTGATCGAAACAAATGCAGGACAAGTGTGAACACCGAATAGGATTTACAAACTCCTCTCAAGCTCTTTTTAATAGAGCAATCAACAATGTGGAAAAAACATGTTTTGAAACCAGTTCTACTTAATTCTACTTATTTCTACTTGTTTCTACTTATTTCTACTTATAACTTAGTTACGTCTAGTTATGTTTTAAATAACTTTTTAATTGCAACATAAGTTAACATAAGTAGGTCTTAAGTAGGATAAGAATAGCCAAGTTACTTAAAGTAGTATAAGTGGAAACCATCCTTAAGGTAGCCCTTTGTGACCCTGAGTTTGTCTTGCAAAGCAAGTGTTGGCTTGCCCGGGCCTGATAATTGATCGATCAATCAAGTTCAACACAGTCGATCGACCGATCATGTCAGAATGGGGGGCTTCCGATCAAGCGGATCTGCAGTGGTCTTAGCGGATCTGCGACGCTCAGATCAACAGATCATTCCAAGCTGCAGAGCCTCAAGCATATGCAAAGCTCGTGTCTGCAGATCTGTGGTGAACTGGCGGCTCAAACAACCGCGAACTCGGACGATCTTCTCCGCTTCAATGGTCATCTTCATCGGATCTTTCGCAGCCTCAGCGCATATATCCGGTTTGCAAGTAGCGCGCAGTTCGATCAGATCATCCGACCGTCCGACCGTTGGATTAACTCATCGGACCAATCGGATCTGCGGCGGATCTGGAGCCAGAGTCATTGAATCAGCAGATCATCGGTTTAATAACCATTGAACGAATCATGTCTAACATCAGATCAGCCGTGCCTCGGATCATACTAGTGGACCAGTGGACCGCTGAGGTGTGGGAGAGGCGGATTGTCAGATTAGCGACGCTCGAATTAGTGTTGATGTCGATCGTTAAAATACCGGAGCGCCCTTTCAACAAGAAGGCCCGCCCGGCAACAGAATTGTTATTGCGCGTCCTTTTTAAGTTAAGTTCATGTGTCCGTCGCGGGACGTGAGGGTCGTCGTTCGCGACGCTGCGCATGGGGGGGCATCGCCTGATACGTTGTCATTTTGTCTTGGGGACTTCTCCATGGAGGTTGCCCTCCCATGGAATCCACAAGCCCGGGGTTCCACCACAGCACTTTGAACATTTCCATGAAGGCTGGATAAGGGCGACTGTTTATGAATCTAGTTCGAAGAGACACCCGAGAACTCAAACAAAGCCCGTCCTAGGTCCTTCACTTTGCTGTTTGTTTTCTGTTTGACTTGTTCTTCCTGATTTGTTCCTTCTTGCTTTCCTACCTTTCGTGCCTTCCCCCTTCTCAAGTATATAGATTACACCACCGTAGACCCCAAACAGCTTGTGTTTTAACACTCTGCAACTAGAGCTTACGACGTCCAGAGCTGGGAGACAAAGGATTGCAAGGCAGAGCGGCCACAGAGACAGGAGACAATAAGGGAGACAAAAGTAGACG